AAATTGTGGTCAATGTCATGAGACAAAGTATATGTGAACTGCTGTATGGAAAGTGAATTTGCTTTGTAAATCTTCACCCAAATTACAATTAAAAAAAAAAATGAATTCCAGTTTCTTGTTTCTAAGTCCTGAGATTAATATGTCAATTTTTCAGAAACATGACTGTTTTCAGACCCATTCTGAATAACTGAGGTGCCATTGAAGATGATGTTTTACTGTGTTAAGCACTTTTCTGGAATCTTTTTCCTACATTATTTAATTTAAGTTACACAGTAAGTAGTACTATGAAGCAAGTATTAATATATTTTGCAAAAGGAGAAACTGAGGCAGCAAACTTGCTCGTTTTTTCTAGCTTATTAAGAATAGAGATTTGCCTTGAGCCTAGGTCTTTCTGACTTCAGAGTTTAAAATTGACCTTTTTTCCACTGATCAGATTGTTTTTCCATTTAAAACAATTTTTTCTAAACATACTATATGGATAAATGTGTAAAAACTTTTTGTTAGAAGTTAAACCAAAATAAAAGGAGAATATATACAGATTTATTATTATTTTTTAGAAAGCAAGCCAAGCTCACTGTTTTTGGGTCGGATCCGACTCATAGCGACCCCTCCTTGGGTTTCTGAGGCACTATCACTATGGAAGTAGATTCTCCAACCTTCCTCTGTGGAGTGGCTGCTGGTGGATTTGAACTGCCACCTTCTAGTTAATCGTCAAGTGTCTTAGGTACTAAAAGATACTTTACAGCACACATATGTGCACACAAACATATGGATTCCCACACATATGAACTTTGATTTACCAGGAATTGTATTCATTCAGTAAGATAACATTTTGATTTGAGTTTTGTGCCTTGTTGTAAAGATCACAGTTGTACGTAATCTTTTTTTTTTTTAAACTAGTAATAGTCTTAGTCTAGAGCTGTGTTGTCCAAATCCGTATTTAGTAGCCATGTGTGGGTATTTATGTTTCCATGATTTAAGATGAAATAAAATGAACAATTCTGTTCCTTCATCACCCAAGCCGCATTTTAAGTGCTCATTTGTCACGTATGGTTTAGTAGCTACTGTATTGCATAGATGTAGACTATTTCCATCATTACTGAAAGGTCTGCTGTTCTAAGACATAAAATTTAATCTTTAGAAATCAGGAATTTAGTTCTTTGGAGTTGATATTCTATGTTGATTTGGGGATATATTCTGTTATACCTCTCTCATTCCCAATTCCCTCCCTCAATTCTAAAGTGACATCACAAAGGTTTCCTATATATCAGAAAATTAAACTTGCTTATTTTGAGAAGTTATCATAATTTTGAAATACGTAGGAAAGTATTTTAGTTTCACTAAAGGAAGTTTAGTGAATCATTCATCTAAGTAAGCCCTTAGCTTTTTAAATGCTGAATGGAGTGTTTAATGAGAAATCTGTTAACTGCTATTGGGACAGCATATTTTAAACTATATTTTTAACTTGGTAAATGTGTTCTGGTTTGTATTTAAAAATAAATGCCGTTTGGAATAAATATGACATTTAATGAATCCAAGTGGTTATCATTGGTCACTGAGAAGGAAAGATCCCATTCCAATTTTTACAAAAGCATTTTATTCATGTTGCACATTAGCTACTTGTCATAACTTTGACTGTCTTCTACTAAAGTTAAACTTTTTCTGATGTTGGACCATAACTGCTAAAATGATACTTTACTTCTGATTACTTTTTAAATTAAATCCATGTATTAAGCTATAAAGTGACTTGAGTACATTGTAAATAAATGCTATAATAATGAAGTGTTTTAATTACATTCCCTAGTGTGAGCATAGAACTCAGTAAAATTTTTACTTAAATTCTTACTATGTTCAGTTTTTTTCTCTAAAGTTGAATCTAAGTAGAAAAAGGAGAGCTTTAGCTTTTAAAGCTGTTTGAGCAAATTCCATGGCTGTTTTCCCAGTTAGTGAGTTTTCACTGCATTTGCTGCAAGCTAATTGCTTTTGCTAATAAATAATCTAAAATCGATGCTGACAGCAGTTAATTGGCACAGAGATTTTATTTTGTAAAGCTCTTGGCTAACGACCTTCTTTAAATTAATAGCATTAAGTGCTATGAGGAAATAAATCTGAGGAATTGCCTGTCATTTGCTTGTCATGTCTAATAACTTCCAATAATGATAGCTGATAGATTTTTGCACATTCCATTATTGAAGTTGGTGCATGTAATTATTCTCCTCATTATATGTAAACAATTAGCAATATTTGGTATTTCCTTGCACTAAAGCTGTTAAATACAGCTAACATATTAGAGGTTAGAAGCCATTTTAAAATCTGGATTTTAATTATTTAAATATAGGAAGTCTTTAATTCTATCTGAGTATATTAGGTGCTGTTTATTTTAAGCCTTGTACTTGAACATTTTTAAATAGGACTTATAAAAATAAGTACTGTATATGTTTTAAAATGTGACAATTTATAGAAATTTTTGTTCATAGCTTGAAGAAGTCATGGAAAAAGAAACTTATAAGACGGCAAAATTAATTCTTGAAAGGTTTGATCCAGACTCAAAGAAAGCAAAGGTAAGGCTCTGATAACACTACTATTTTATTATATATTGCACATTGTAATAGGCCACTGTAATAACATTATTGTAATCGACAGGAGTATGAGCCGCCATCTGCTGGAGCAGCTGTAACTGCAAAACCTGGACAAGGTAAATAACTTTGTAGAAACTGCTGCTGCTGTTGGAAAGATCCATATTTACCCAAGTGAGTTCAAAAGTGTGATGGAAGTGTATAAAAGCTATGTAGAATGCCTTTATGTTAATTTAAATTTGGTCATTTGACATGATTAGGAGTGGATGGCAATGGCTGATTTCATGCAAATATGTTGATATGTAAGGGTATTGAATACCTGTTAAGGTGAAATAGATAATTAGTTTTAATCTTTTGAAATATAAGTAATTTATTAAGTGATTCACCAATATTTTGTAAGTCTTTTTCTCTTCAATTAAGAATCTCCTGGAATATCTGTTACTATGAAAATCTTTATATTTGTATGATTTGTTATTAAGGAATTCAATGAAATTTTTGTCATATTTGAAATTTCTTCTAAAATAACACTTATTTGGATAGAGAATGAAATAATTTAGAAATGAAAAGGAAAACTGAATTACTGCTATGTAATAATGTTAACTTTTTCTTTTTGAAGTTGTGTTGACAGATTATTAATGAGGTTGTTACTATTCTATCATTAAATATCACCTAAATTTTAAAAAGTCATTCCTTTAAGTGGTTACATAAAGTATTCCCAGAATGGCATATGAAAAAGTATTTTTGAATTTGCATTTGCTTCCTTCTTTGTTCTCTAATCTAGAATCTAATAATATAGTTAGTAAGGTTTCTTATAATGCAGAATATGCTTTTAAAAAAAATTTAACTTCCAGTTTTGTAAAACATCAGAAGTGTAGCTTGGTTTATAAAGTTAGGATGACATTTAGAACTTTGAAAAGTACAATCGTCCCTTGGTGTCCATGGGGAATTGGTTGCAGAACCCCAGGAAATACCAAAATCCATGCATGCAGAAATCTCTTACATAAAATGGCATAGTATTTGCATATAACCTATGCATATCCTCCTGTATACTTTAAATCACCTCTAGATTACTTATAATACCTGAAACAGTGTGAATGATATGTAAATAGCCCTTTATGCTTCCTTTTAATCTTTGAGGGATTGCTTTGACCAGTAATTGTTTTTTGGGAGGCTTGCCCCCTCCTCCCACCCCATCCACCAGTGAATATTTTTGATGGTTGAATTCCAGATGTGAAACCCGGGAATGTGGAGAGCAAACTGTAAATCCTTTGATAAATATCCACAAAGATCGTGGATGCTGAATAAGCCATAATAGTTTTAGGTTTTCTATTTGGCAGGGCTGTGTGGCATGTATCCCACTGTCCCCTCCTCCCTAATCTTCCATAAGTAAGATTTTGGTTTATAGTGAGAATAGACTTTTCTTTTGATAAAGTAAAAGTTCACATATGATTAATTTAAATCACTTTAGTATATGTGTATTCTTAATAACACTTGCCAATAAGTGTTTAAAATGTGTTTTTAAGATGTATAACTGTGTCATGGCAGTCTAGATAAAACCCCACACACAACTAAAAGCCTAAAATCAAGTAGATAGGTGAGACCTGTGATCATGTTCCTAGAGAAAAGAAAATGGTTTTCCTTTTTGGGATAGGGAAATCTGTAATGATGATAACATTTAGCTTTCCTGAGTACTTGGCTGCTGTGAAGTGCCTAATGATGCAGTATCTTAGCTAATTTTGTGACTTCTTGTAGATCTTATTTTCTCCTCCTATTTTTGTTTTAACTTTTTTCTTTTAAGGCAAGAAAAATAGGAAAAAAGTATTTTATTGGACATTTTTGTTTTGAATAGAATAGGTTAGTTTTGTAGTAAATTTCTTGGCATCTTCTCATCTACCTTTCATAACTTTTATCTTTAAGAGTGTCTCCAGAATGGTGACACCTCCAAGACTGTGGCCCCTAGTTACCCTTCCGGCCTGGAATTGGACTCACTTCTGTTGTTTCCAGCCAAATAACAGACAGGCATATAGGGTGAACATTTACGCTAGGTAGATACACTCCCTGGAAGGATCAATTATGGAAGAACAGAAGGGCAGTATTTGTATAGGGAGAGAGCTTAGAGGATAGGAATGCATAGGAAAGAATACAGGGAAGAGGTGGAAAGTGGTAGGTACAGGGAGGAAGTGGGGAGAGGGCTGTTACATTGTGGGGATTGCAGTCAATGTCATGAAACAAAATGTGTATGAACTGCTGTATGGAAAATGAATTTGCTCTGTATACTTTCACCCAAATCACAATAAAAATTAAAAAAAAAAAAGTCTCCAGAAAAATATTTTTGAAAATAGTTCATTTACAGACTTGTTCTGGGATAGAAAACCAAAATAATCTGTCTTTACCTGATATCTGTTAGCACTTCCATAGTTTTGTTGTTATCAACATTCTGCCAATGGGAAGAGTTAATTTGCTATATAGCTTTCACATTGGTCCCACATTTTCCTCCACTTTGAGTCATAATCTTGTGTAAATACTGTGATTTTTTTTTTTTAAATCTCATTGCTCATCCCCAACACACTCTTATGGGGCTGAGTAAAGCCATGAGTGATGACTGAGAGACAGAGAAATGTGAAAGGAATTTAGACACCAAGTAGTGGTAGATAGGAGAGCAGTGAATGGTAGTTGGAGAAATGATGGGAGTGTAAGTTAAATGCTTGTGAGACTATTCTTTGTTCCTTTTTGCCAGTAAGAACCATCTAAGTTATTTACAGCAAGAAAAGCCTACAGTCACCAGAAGGAAGGAAATAATCAAGATTCGAGCAGAAATCAATGAAACAGAAAATAGAAGGGCTATAGAAAAAATCA